TCAGTCGCAACATGGCAATGACCTCTTCCATCTTCCGCCTTTCGCCTTCTTCCCGGATTCGTTCCGCTAGAGGGTTAGCAGACTCAACCGGGGGACCCGAATCAAGCCCGCTCCTGCCGCCAGCCGGAGGTTCCGAACTGGGGAGGCCGGTACCCAAAAGAGGGCCACCGTACCCTCTTCGCGGTGACGTTTCCGGTCGTCCGGCGTCCGGCGAGGATCGTGGAGAGATTCGTGGAGAAGTGCCTCTTCTTCGTCGTGGAGTACTTGGAGTGTTGGATCTCTTTGATGTTCGTTCCGATGATTGTCTGGAAGTGGATCTGAGGCGTGAAACTTGACTCATCTTTGAGTTTCCATCTTCACGCAGTACGCTCAAACCACTTCTGGTTCGAGCGGGTGCCTTCGCAACCGCAACCATCTCAACGGCATCATCTGATGATGTAACCGCATCTGTGTCGGCGCAGCCTGTGCTTTCGCCCAATGCAGGTGCAGCAATAGCATCACCATCACCGAAGGTCATGGTTGTGTCGGCACTCGACGACGAGGTTGGCAGCGCCATAGCTCAGCCCGTACAGTAGTCGCAAGAAACCGCAACCGCTATACGGCTGATAACCTGCGTGAGGTCGGGTAGTTGCTTGCACTACGCTTTGGCTCCTCACCAGCCAAATGGTCTCGCACTTGTTTTCTGCACTGATGTTCGCCTTCAGTCTCCGTCTCGTGCACCCGGGCGGTTTCCAGTTACGCTATTGCGCTTACTTCCAACCTATGGGTGACCTACACTCTAGGGATTACTTGAGCCAAAGTGGTGAACAGGCCACGGCGTTCTAAAGTGGTTTCCCCGATGTGCGGCGGAGCCGACACAAAGGGGTCCCCAAAACGTGCTGTGGTTCGGGGATCATTCACAGTTTAGGGTTTAGGGTTTAGGGTTTAGGCTTATAGGGCTTGGGGGCTTTAGCGGCGCCAGCCTTCTTTTACAGTAGGATTTGGGAATTCGGGGGGTTCAGAGATTAGGGTTTTGAGTGTAGGGTTTGGTTGTCGAGTAGGGTTTGCAGCTTTGTGCTTTAACGCTTCGGAGATACCTTTTGGGGGGGGCTCTAAGGGAGTGAGGGCAAGGAACGCTAGGGTTAGAGTGCCTTTTGGGGTTTAGGGTTTAGAGTTTAGGGTTTAGGGTTTAGGGTTTAGGGTTTAGGTTGATTTGCCCTAGTATCCCTCATGGTCCTCATAGCGCAAGTAACAGCGCCAAAACCCTTGGAGCCAAGAATCAACACCCAACCCTCAAGCCCTAAGCCTAAGACCCTACACCACTAACGAACCCAAAAAAACCGACACCACTAACCCCAAAACCCCCCCAAAACCCTGCGTCTCTAACCTCACCCGCACCCCTATGTCCCCCAAGACACCCGAGCACGAAATGCACTCAAGAGCCCCCCTAAACCCGAAACCCTAAACCCTAAACCCCAAACCCCAAACCCTAAACCCTAAACCCTAAACCCCAAACCCTAAACCCTAAACCCTAAACCCAAACCCGTCGCTGTGGAGGACTGGGCCCAGGGAAGCCAGGAGCGCTCCGAGCGGCTCCTTTGTCTGATAGCTGGGGTGGTGCCAAAGGTTCGAGGGTTTAGGGTTTAGGGTTTAGGGTTTAGGGTTGAAATTATTAAGGGCCCAGGTCCGGGGAAGTTTCGAGGAAAGTTTCGAGGAGCTTCGTGTTTTTAATGTTCTTAATGATTTCAAGTTACAGGGGCCTGAGGGTTTAGGGTTTAGGGTTTAGGGTTTAGGGTTTAGGGGTTTGGGCAATAGGGGTGAGAGGAGTGTAGGGTGTAGCGGGTGGAAGGATTGCAGGGTTAAAAAGGTGTGGGGCTTGGGGTTATGGAGTTTAGCGTTATCGAGTTGCAGGGATTACGGGTGATAGAGTAGTAGAGTTATGGATTAGGGGCTTCCTCTAACAGTAAATAGCATGTGCTCTTTAGAGCAAAGCGTCAGGTAGGCACCACAGGCTTGGCCCATGCCAGTTGTATGGCTATCCTATCACTTCGCCTGGGCATCTTAACACTTATTTTCCGGCATCCTAACACTTATTTTGGGCGTCAACACTGCCCCTGTGGTCACCGTCCGATCACTACACCGATGTTTCGCTTGCTGATCTTCGTAGCCTTCACGACACTGATTTGTTGTTAGGTTATGTAAGTTATGTAGCTATCCTAACACTTAACTGGGGGTCTGGGTTGCTTGTTTTGGTAGCCATCTTAACACTTATATAATGGGCGTCTGGATTGCCTTGTTTGTACTTCCCACCACCCTGCTGGAGGTTCGAAAGGTTTAGGTCCACAGGACAACAAAGGAATCTAGGCAAGCGTTAGGTGTGTGCACCCAACCTAACAACCTAACAACAAAGACACCTGATGAGTGTTCGGTTGTCAGCTGGATTTGTGGAAACCACCTAATTAGCCCGGATAAGTGTTAAGTTGCGGCAAAACCACTGTCAAGTTGGGGCCAAGTTAACACTTATGGGGGGGCCCGGATAAGTGTTAAGTTGGCCCCAACCTGACAGTTGGGGGGGTAACTGTTCAGTTGGGGCCAACTGACCACTTATCCGGGCCCGGGGATAAGTAAGTGTTAAGTTGCGGCAAAACCAAGGGTTTCAGACAACTTGACAGTTATCCCGGGCCCGGATATGTGTTCAGTTGGCCCCAACTGAACAGTTAAACCCCCCCCCTAACTGTTCAGTTGGGGCCAACTGAACACTTATCCGGGCCCCGGGGATAAGTGTTAAGTTGCGGCAAAACCAAGGGTTTAAGCCAACTTGACAGTTATCCCGGGCCCGGATAAGTGTTCAGTTGGCCCCAACTGAACAGTTAAACCCCCCCCCTAACTGTTCAGTTGGGGCCAACTGAACACTTATCCGGGCCCCGGGGATAAGTGTTAAGTTGCGGCCAAACCAAGGGTTTCAGCCAACTGAACACTTATCCGGGTTGCGGCAAAGCCAAGGGTTTCAGCCAACTTGACAGTTATCCGGGGGCCCAGAGAAGTGTTAAGCTGGCCCCAACTGAACAGTTAGGGGGGGGGGGGGGGCTAACTGATAGGTTGGGGCCAACTTACCACTTATTTGGGGGCCCGGAAAACTGTTAAGATAACTGTTAGGTTGGCCGCAACAAGGCTGGTGGGGCTGTCGGTCGAGTCCGCAGTATCAGGTTAGGGCTTTGATAGTTGCTCTGCTGGGGCCTACAAAGTGTTGGGTTGCGACCTATAAGTGTTAGGTTGAGCCTAGCTAAGTGTTAGGTTGGGGCCTAGATAAGTGTTAGGTTAGGGCCTAGATAAGTGTTAGGTTGGGGCCTAGATAAGTGTTAGGTTGGGGCCTAGATAAGTGTTAAGTTGGGACATAGATAAGTGTTATGTTGGGACCTAGATAAGTGTTCAGTTGGGGCCTAGATAAGTGCTAGGTTGGGACCTAGATAAGGGTATTTAAGTGTTAAGTTGGGCTAGATAAGTGTTAGGTTGAGACCATGATAACTGATAGGTTGGGACCCTGGTTGCTGTTCGGTTGAGACACCCAACAAGGTATAAAGAGCTACTGTCAGAGGCAGGGCCTAAGTTATGGAGTTATAGGGTTTTGGCATGTGGGGTGCCCCATTTAAGCCCTCTCGAAAACTTTTGGGGGATTTGGAGGGTCCTGTTAGACAGCCCCGCAAACCCTAAACCCTAATACCCTGAACCCCCAAAAGCCCTAAACCCCGAAACCCTAAAATCCTAAAACCCAAAAGCCCTACAACCCCAAAACCCGAACAAAATCCTAAGCCCACAAGCCCTACAACCCCCCAACGACCCTCACCCGCCTTTCAGTCTTCTTTTGCTTTGAGACAGCCCTGGGGTGTTTGGCCCTTGCACTTATAGTTTAGCGTTGAGGGTTGAAGGGTTTCAGGGTTTGAGGGTTTAGGGATTCGGGTTTAGTCCTACAGTTGCGGCGAGCAGGCCCCATCATCGGTCGCTGCTGATCGAAGAAGCTAAAGCAATCGATGGACAGATCTTTGCGAAGCAGCTACGGACCCACACACGAACCCCAAACCTCTGGCTCGTTCATCGAAATGGTGCAGCTCTTTGTTGCTCCATCATTCTGCTTATCAACATGGACCCTATAATTGGGATCAACCCTTATCCCACCACAGGTCTTCAGGCCATGGAACCCTAAACCCTAAACCCTAAACCCTAAACCCTAAACCCTAAACCCTAAACCCTAAACCCTAAACCCTAAACCCTAAACCCTAAACCCTAACTCTCCAGGCCATGTAGGATTTCGCTTTAGCCAGGCTCCTTCGCTGCCCCCACGAGTGCCATGCGCTGTTGGGCGAAGGGCACCTCTGCTTCTCATGGGGTTGCAGGCTTATAGGGTTTAGGGTTTAGGGAATGTATTCATATATATATATATATATATGTATATATATATATATGTATGTATGTATGTATGTATGTATGTATGTATGTATGTGTATATGTATATGTATGTATATATATAGGCTTCAATTACACCTCCAAATGTAGTCCTCCTTTTTTATACCAAGTCTCTCCGCTCACAAAAGCAAGCACAATGGGGGTTCTGGGCAGGGTCCTGCTATCCTGGCATTGTGCGTCAACCTCCTGCAGATAATGCCCCCGTATCCTCACTGACATGCTGTGGCTCAGCAAGAAGCCACCTAGACCCGGATGTCTTCCTTCATGCTATGGGGTATCATATTGGTTCTCTACAGCAGGGTCGCATTTTCATACGGGGACGACCCACAAGGGGGCCCTTGTCTTTCAGAACCCACCATATGCAGGGTCTAGAAAGAAACAATACGGGTAGGCACCTCACTGCTCAGAGCAAGAAAAGACGAAGTCGTAGGTGGGAAGTTGGGGTTCTTGTTAGTTCCCTTTGTTGGTGAGTTTTTGGCTCTCTGATTCTGAATCACAAGGGTTATTGAATAAAAGGAACCAGACAACCTTGTTCGCCGAGGTGCCTGCTGCCACGGAAGATGGGTCGCTCGACAGGGGTTGTCCACCTTCAAAAGGGTGCCCCTGATATACCCCTTATATACCCTATACAACCCTAAACCCTAAAGCCTAAACCCTAAACAGATTAAGGGCCCATACTTCAGAACTCTTGAAAGGAGGTAAGGGACCATATTTAACGGCCCATGAAACTACCCTCAGAGGGTTGTGGGTTGCGGGTTGAGGCTGTAGGGCCGAACCCCAGCAATCGCCAATTCCACTAAGAAGTAGCTCTGATTCCCTTTTTTCAGGCCACCTTTTTTGGGGTTTGGGTTCCCTTTCCCTTATAATGCCCTCTTGAAACCAAAAAGGGCACCCTTGTATTCCTAGGTTAATCGTGGGTCTGTAGTTGTTAAGAACAACTGATTTCATAGGTACTTCTTGTATTTTACTTTTCCATCGGGCTCCTTACAAAAACCAAGCAACGAGACCCCCCGCCCAAACAAAGGACCCCAGTTTGTAATCCTAAGCCCTAAACCCCCCTCCAACACAATACCCAGCCCCGATGACGATACCCTAAACCCTAAACCCTAAACCCTAAACCTTAAACCCTAAACCCTAAACCCTAAACCCTATACGTCCGAAGCCCGGCGAGGGCCGCCTCTCAGACTGTAAGGCTCAACTTCCTGCTTCTCAAGAGATGATTTTGAAGCTTGATGTCCAAAAGTTCCCTTATTGCCTTATTGCTTGGTGTGGAATTCGAAGAATATTGTTTTTTCAACCCGAAAGAGAGACCCTTATTGCTTGGAGGACAAGATTTGTTGCCAAGATCTGTTCCACGACAGGGTTATGTGGCGGGGAATATGCGGTACCTAATTCCCTACTTCTCGACAAGAACTCGTCGGTCACAGCACCGCATGCTCAAGCCAGGTCTGCACCAGCGAGCTCACGTGGACCTGCCCCCTGGCTTCCACCCTTTCAGGTTTGCGGGTGCTAAGCCCTTCCCTCTTGTAAAAAGGGTGGTTTAGGGTTGAGGGTTTCGGGTTTAGGGCAAGGTTTGTAGGGTTTGTAGGGTTTGTGGGGCTTAGAAACCCTACGCTCCCAACACGTCCCCCCACTACTAGAAAAGCTATGTGCAGGCACGGCGAAAGCCATAACGCACCTCAACCCTAAACCCTGAACCCGAAACCCTAAACCCAAAACCCAAAGCACAGCCCAGGTTCCTCAGCCAATACATGAAGCCGCGAGCGGAGTGCGTCATCTGCAGCGCCGAAAATGCGCCCAGCACCAGCCGTGCCTCGAAGGTTTCATTTGGCGTTCCACTTTCTCTTATGTCCCGACACCGTCTAAATTCCGAACGTTTGCAGAATACCATCTAAACCCTAAAGCCCCCCACACACACACACAACAAAAAAAAAAGGAAGCCGCACGCACGCAGACGCGCGTGCGCCCACCCGCCCACCCGCCCACCCGCCCGCCTCTTTGGTGATGCAGAAGCACAGTGGGGGAGCAAGCAGTCCTATACATCTCCACTTTTACATATGCATATGTAAGTATGGTTGTTGTGTTGATCCCCATCTGGCGGGTCTCTGTCGGGAATTATGAGGCAACGTAGCACACTGGCCCTTCTTTTTCGGAGCACACAGAAAGGGCCCATCAGAAGTATCACCAGATGTCTCTGGAAATGAAAGTCAGACCAAAGAGAGGGACATTTTCGGGCTCATAGGTTGCAAGAACTGTTGTGAGTACACGTTATCGCCTTATTGCCTAAGCCTAAATTGGCTACGTATGGCCCTGCTGGTACCTACTCTGAACTTTCAGGTAGCGCAAGGGGTTTTGGGATCGCAGGCTCGTCTTGCGTTCACAGCTACCTCGTGCTGCTAAGGTTTGTTTAGGGTTTAGGGTGGTTTGTCTAAGGACACGAGAATCTTCCCTCAATGGGTGGGGCTCTACAAATTTCTGGGCTCCTCGTGGCCCTAAACCCTAAACCCTAAGTTCACAGTTTAGGGGTTAGGTTCCTCGAAAATTTGTCAAACTTCCCACTAAAACACCAGAGTAACGGCGCGCTTCGTTTCCTAGGGCACTGGCTAACCCAGAAAGCCCAGAAACACCTTAAACCTTAAACCCTAAACCCTAAACCCGAAACCCCTGAACCCTAAACCCTAAACCCTAAACCCTAAACCCTAAACCCTAAACCCTAAACCCTAAACCCTAAACCCTAAACCCTAAACCCTAAACCCTAAACCCTGACCTTAAAACCCTAAAACCCCCCTACATCCCCCTAAGGCGGGTACATCCCATCCGCGCCGGCCCTGCGGTTGCGGCAAGACCCCCTGGATGGCCCTGGCAATGTTTGGGCTCTTAAGGACCGTAGGTTTTGTTGGGAAAACAAGGGGTATCGAAGGGTTTGGGGTTTAGGGTTTAGGGTGTAGGGTTTAGGGTTTAGGGTTTAGGGTTTAGGGTTTAGGGTTTAGGGTTTAGGGTTTAGGGTTTAGGGTTTAGGACTCTTTTGGGTATGTATAAGGACCTTGTGTTTGATTGGGTATACAAGGGGAATGTAAGGATTTTTCAGTTCAGGGTTTTCTTGGGTATATAAGGGGTATACAAGGGTTCCGCAATTTAGGGCCCATGGCAAGGGACCATGTAAATACCCTAAGACTGCAAGTTAGCAGCAGTTTCAGGTTTAGAGTTCAGGGTGTGCTCGGCAAAGTTGCACGCTGGCAAGCGCCAGAATGCGAAGATGTGCCCGCCCCAAGACCAGCCGAGTACTCAACTCAAACCCGGGCCAGAAGCAGCCGAACCAAATTCGCAAATCGGATGTGTTCAGTGTTCAGGTTTGCGTTCAGGCTGCAGGCTTTTCCATTGACAGTCATCTAGACCGAACGCATTTCTCAGGTTTTTGCACCCGACGAGCAAGGATTTGGAGATTCCGTTTAGGTTTCCAAAGGAATTCCAGACCAAAGAGCCTTGTTCGCGGAAGATTAGTCGGGTTTAGGGTTGAGGGTCTAGAAATGTATCCGAGTAGCAACTTGCCTGGAACGCAAGCTTAACTTTCCCGGCTTTGTCATGGAAAATTCGGGTCCGCAATCACACCCTAAACCCTAAACCCTAAACCCTAAACCCTAAACTAGGACCCAGAGTAGACCCTTTTTCCCCTTTTTTTAGGGCTTGGGTTCCCTTATAAAGCCCCCTTCAACCCAAAAGGATACCCTGTTTTACACCTAGGTTACTCTTGGCCCTATACCCTAAACCCTAAACCCTTTGGGTCTTGCTAATGTTTGAAAGTCCAGTTTGATTTTTCCGTTGGGGGCGTGCTTGACCGAAGGGCCTTCCTCACCGAATCTTCGAGAGGGCGAGGTAGGTTTATGGGGTCTGGGATTTAAGGTGTATAACCCGGTTTAGGGTTTAGGGTTTAGAGTTTAGGGTTTAGGGTTTTTGGGCTTCATCTAGACTTTGTGGCGTATGCGTTGTGGGGTTTTTAAGGGAGGGGGGTTCATGGGGTGTAGGTACCCAGGGAAACCTTCGGGAAGCTTAGGGAGCCTGTTAGGAGCACGGAGAGCTGAAGCCTGGGGATAAACCCAACCTAAAAAAATATAGCAGTATAGTCGTAAAACATCTAGGAATAGAGATGAATACTATCCCAACCAAGAACTAGAACAAAAGCAGCTCGCAGGAGCCCTGCGTGCAGAAAGGCAAAGGTGTCACTGTCCTCGCAGGAGGGGTTGGCAGCCAGAGTGACTTCACCCTAAACCCTAAACCCTAAACCCTAAACCCTAAACCCTAAACCCAGGTAACTTCCGGGCTTTAGGGGCTTAGGTCGGTTTAGTTGCCTTAAGGGCACTTCCGGCACGCGACCTCTGATCCATAGCTTCCTTGACACTTGCGAAAAATGGTTTGGGGTTTAGGGTTTAGGGTTTAGGGTTTAGGGTTTAGGGTTTAGGGTATGTGGTCCCTTGCCCTCTTTCAAGGGTTCCGATGTATGGGCCTTGGGTAGAAGGTATAAACGGGGTATATAGGACAGAGTTTAAGGGCTCATATTCAAGGACCGACAGCTTGAGGGGTTTGAGGGTTTAGGGTTTTGGGTGTCTTCGGACCTGAACTCACCCATGTTCATCCTTTAGTTGGTTGACGAGTGCGGTAGAGCTCCGAGTAGGCAGCCCTCCCTCGGGAGTAGAACTTGGGGTTGGGGAGCTGTCGTATTTTTCGAAGTGCAAAAAATCGGGCCTCCAACCACCAGACGACAAAACGTCTTCAATCCAGCAAGGGCCCTCCACTAACAACTGCAGTGAGCCTCGCAGATGAGAACCTTCTCTCCCAGGCCTTCCTGGTCAGACTTGCAGACAGGATTGGCCACAGTTTTAGTCAGTGAAACATTTGAGCCCTCAGGGGGGTCCCCCGGGTTTTAGGGTTTAGGATTTAGGGTTTAGGGTTTAGGGTTTAGGGTTTAGGGTGTTCTTCCTTTTGTTGCTGGGACCTTCCACCAGCCCCTCAGACGCCGGGGACACCCCCTTGGACACCCCGAGAACCTGATCTGGGGCAAAGAAGAAAAAGCAAGTCTTTGCCTCAACCCTAAACCCTAAACCCTAAACCCTAAACCCTATGATTCCTCGGATCCTAACTCCTCAAAAACCCTCAAGTTTGGCTCTCCAGCGCAGGGCTCTCCAGGATACTCACCGCCTACGAGACGCACCGGCCAGCAGGGCAGGGCCGGGACTGTGTCGCGCTGTGGCAGCATTGAATTGGGGTTTAGGGTTTAGGGTTTAGGGTTTAGGGTTGAGGGTTTAGGGTTTAGGGTTTAGGGTTTAGGGTTTAGGGTTTAGGGTTTAGGGTTTAGGTTTAGGGTTTAGGGGTAAAAATTGCGGGCTATGTTGAAGGATTTATTCAAACAATTGAGACCAAACGGGCCTGCACAATTCTTGGGGACGGGCGGATGCCCCCAAAACTTTGTTTCCGAAGAGGACTTCTCCAAGACGCAAACACCCCCTTCGAAGTGTCAAGGGTCACGGAACCCTTTGGGGGAGTCTAGGGGGGGAGGGGGGGGCGGTCGTATAAACCCCGAGAAATTATGATCGTTCTTGATCGGAATCCCCGAAACGGGTACCACACTTGTCGCCCGCACGCTTGGGGTTTTCTGAAGCCAGCTAGCTATGCAAGCCTGAACTCTAAACCCTACGGCGTTAGGAACCGAACTCAGAGAAACGACACCCCCAAACCCTCAACCCAGCCCCGCCTTCCCCCCCCCCCTTAACCCTCTCCCCAAGAAAGTTCACACCCTAAACTCACCGTACTGCCGCAAAACCCCTAAACCCGAACCCCTAAACCCTAAATCAGTCAGGCGCAGAAGTACATAGAGCGCCCCCTCTTGGTGCCGCGCCCATCGGGGCCGGCCAAGTGCGATCTCCGTGTCTGGGTGCTGGTCCTGGACCCTTGGCCTAACAACTAACCCAGAAGAATTGCTGTTCGGGTTTAGGGTTTAGGGTTTAGGGTTTAGGGTTTAGGGCTGTCTGACCCTGAGCTCTTATACTTACCCTTGCAATCCACCATCTCTATCCCACGGAAAGCTCATTCAAATCTAAGTAGACTTCCCCCGCGCGTGTGCTATTGCTGGCTAGTATGTTCATTTCTGAAAAAAAGGGGCCGCTTTCTAATACGGACCTTACACCACAACACGAGGACTGGAATCCGCTGACCGCCTTCGTCCACCCGGAAGTGTACTTCCGCGTGGCCACCCTGCCCTATGAGCTGGCATCTTGGCTCTCAGGGTTTAGGGTTTAGGGTTCAGGGTTTAGGGTTCCGGTCAGGAACAAACAACTTGGGGGGCAGAGAGTTAAAGTTTGTTTTGGTGTGGAGGAGGCAAGAGGCAGGTCTGGGGCTTTGGGGCTAGGGCTGGATCCAACCACAAGCCTTCGGCCCTGCATGGTTTAGGGCTTCGGGTGTCAAGGTTTTTGGGCCCCTCAACCCTCAACCCTAAACCCCAAACCCTAAACCCTAAACCCTAAACTCTAAACCCTAAACCCTAAACTTTACTAAACCCTAAACCCTACAAGGACTCCATGGCCCCGAATGCTCACAAGACGAACTGCCGCGATGCCGAGAATCGGACGCCAATGAAGGACCTCCCTGATTTGCTTAGGGCTTAGGGTTGAGGGCTAAACCCTAAACTAGGGTTTAGGGTTTAGGGTCGAGGGTTCGGGGCGTCCCAAAGCATTTTCTGGGGGATACTAGAGGTTCGTGAGTTCAAAATGGATTTTGGAGCTCTTGGGCCTAGCTAAGTTTGGGGCTCAGTAGCCTTGAGAGGATATACCCCACAGTAGCTCCCTGAACGAATCCCCAAAACCCAGAAAACAGCGCCAAAAACAGGCCTCAGACTAAAGATGCTTCCGAATCCGCAAAACAACGCCGACGGCCAAGCGAATGGGAGGTTCTCTTCGAGCAGCTAGGGTCCGCTGCCGAAGAGCGCTGGCGGTCCTACACATGGCCCAGGCAGGTTGATTGAGGGTTTAGGGTTTAGGGTTTAGGGTTTAGAAAACAGAAGCCTAGCTACTGAAGAAACTCCCAAGACCCGACATGCCTTAAAGCTTGAAAAAAGCCTAGGCTCTACTAGGCCACCTCAAACCCCCTAAAGCCCTCAGAGCCCCGAACACCCGAAGACCCAAGACCCTCACAACGTCAAAGGGATCAGCTGCAACGGTTTTGCCGCAGGTTTGCCGGTTTAATTTGGCCTTGGGGCTTGATGTTGATGGTGTCCAGGGTTTGGGGTTTAGAGATTGCGGTTTTCGACGTTAAACGCCCTCCGCCCCATCCCTTGAGCCATCTAAGCCACTTCAAACTCCTCAGCCCCAAACGAATCCCCCGACCCTATTTAGTAGAAAAGTTCATCTGGGGGTTGATTTGGAACCTTAAAAAGCAGATCAACTTAGCTTCAAGCCCGCCTAAACGCTTGAATCCTAAACCACCTGCACCCGAAACTTCCACAACCCCCAAACCCCAAACCCCAAACTGCCCCAAACCCTAAACCCTAAACCCTAAACCCTAAACCCTAAACCCTAAGCCCAGAATCTGCAAAAAGAGAGGCTTCTGGACGCGGTGCGGGCCGCGCTTCTGGCAACCCGCCCTGTCACCTGCCTCGCAACCATCCAGCTCTCCTCCCTAAGCCCTAAAGGTCGGGTTTAGGGTTTGGGGTTAAACCCTAAACCCTAAACCCTAAACCCTAAACCGGTGGAGGGTTCATAAGGGCATTCGCCCAGCCCCAAGCCTACAAAGCTCGAGGCCTTCACAACCCGAAGACCTAAACCTCATGTCTTATTCTTAGGGTTTAGGGTTTAGGGTTCAGGGTTCAGGGTTCAGGGTCCGGGATGCTCCCCTGAGTGCCAAAACTCCTAGACCCCAACATACTTGGAAAGGCCTGAAAACCTCCACAATGCCTTCATGAAACCCCCCCCCAAAAGACTCCTAACGCTCCAAAGCTGAAGCTCAAGACCCCCTCCAGTAAAACAAGCCCCAAACCTATAAACGGAACAGGGGGCGTGGGGGGTTTTCTTGTTTGTCCATAGGTTACTGAGTTACTGGAACCGAAACCTTCTAAACCCGAAAGGAGAAGAACTAAACCCTGAGCCCTAAACCCTAATCCCTACACCCTGAACCCTAAACCCTAAACCCCCGAAATCCGCGGAGTCACCAAGTCCATGGCAGCCGACCGGCCGAAAAGTCCCGCGCCCTCGGCCTTTGCTGCGCGGCCGGCAGTTGGTGGAAGGGCTGAGGGTTGAGGATTTAGGATTTAGGGTTTAGGGTTTAGGGTTTAGGGTTAGGGCTTTTGGTCTTGGGTTCAGTGTTTGGGGTTTGGGGGTATGGGCTCAGGACGGCAGATGGGAGTTTCAAATTAGGGTCCCTATTTTGGTGGCATCGCTCATTCAAAAAGAGATTCCGCTCATCAAATCTCCCGAAAAGGGGCACCACAATAGGCTAACCCGCAACGATTGAGCTTTCAGGTTTTTGGGCTCCAGGCGTTTGCCATTGGAGTCTTGTGGGGGGTTCGGGCGAAACTAGGGGCTTAAGATTGGGGTCGGAAGAATTGCTAATCGTATTCCCTTATGGTCCATTTGTAATTTTACAATATTAACCTTCCAAAACCCTATTCTAATTATTCAGGCCCCTATATTAGGGATGAGGGCTTGAGGGTAGGAGGGTGAGTCAAGACCTCCGTGAAGGTTGCGCACCACGCGGCCTAAGTACTAAGGTTGGGTTGAGGGGGTTCAGGGTTTAGGGCTTCTTCTGGTTGAGAATGTCTCAGAGTTTCTGGGAGGTGTTGGTTTCTGGTTTAACAGCAGATGGGACAAGCTCTGGAATTCAGAGCCTTGCGACGCCAGTAGCTAAATGCCTAACCCAGCAGCTTGGGATGTTCCCCCTAGCTAGCAGTCTTTAAAAGGGACCATACTACAGGGTACTATTATCCCTCTTAAGGACTGTGCGTGCAAGGGGGAACATCCCAAACCGCAGCCCTTTGCCACAAGAGCTGCAACCAGGGTCCGCACATCATAAGCTCTCTATCCCTCGGTAGCCCAGTGGTACCCTTTTCCCCCTTTTTTGGTTCAGGGTTCCCTGGCATGAGGGCATAGGTCATGCCCATCCCGAAGGGAGAGCCCCGGAGAACGGACCACCTGACCAGAAGGAAGGCTGGAAGCAGCCGCAACGAGCCCTAAGTCCATGAATGGTCCCTAAGAAGTCCTCCTGTCTTCTGAGATCGGAACCCCAAACCCCAAACCCCAAACCCTAAACCCTAAGCCAGCAAGCCAATGACTTCGGGACCAGGAGGAGCAAAGCACTCGCAAGGCAGATCTGTTGAGAGTCTGCTCCTGCGCATGGATAAGCAAAAGCCAAGCTGCCGCAAGAGGCAGTGAGTGGCATGAACAGTTCCCTAAACCACAAACCCTAAACCACAAACCCTAAACCCCAAAACCCTAAACCCCAAACCCTAAACCCTGAGCCCCTTCGAGTGCAGCAGTCGACTCGCCTCGCTGCCTGTGGGGAGGGGGGTACAAGCTCCCACCTCACTTGGTCTCATTCGTGGCAACTGCCCCCTTTTGGGATGCCTATGACTCGGGCGAGAGGCCGTCAAGCGCCCCGAAGCCCTAAGCCCTACGACGTATAACCTTACCATCCGCTAACCCAAACCCTACATCCCTACAACCCTTTATCCCTACAACGCTATACTATAACCCTAGAACCCTAGACCGACAACCCGAACTCTAAAACCCTACAACCCTAAACCCATGGCCCCCCTACAACCTTAAACCCCTAAGACCCCAAAACCCTGTAACCCTACAACCCCTAAAACCCTAAACCCTAAACCCTAAACCCTAAACCAAGCACAAGGAGCTCTTTGGTCTGGACTTTGGCTCCTTTACAGCAGTGGGAGCTGAGTCGCGGAACTCTAGGTTTTGGGGAATTGAGGTATTGGGGCTTCAGGGTTTTTGGGCTTCAGGGTTTCAGGGCTTTTGCGTGTAGGGTTTGGGACGTAAGGCGATCTTTTTTTGGCTGTTTCAGGGTGTTTGGCTTGCGTTTTGCGAGGTTTTCGGTGTATTTGGTTATCCTTATGTTGTTCCCCACTTTCGGTGCGGGCTGTTGGATAATGCTTCTTCGCAGGTTATCCCTAGAGGAAAAAGTACCTCTGGAGTGCCCAGCCCCAGAGAATCCCGAAGCAAAAATCCCACGAAGCATCCCTGGAAAGGCACGGAGAGACCCTAGAAGGGGACCCATCACCCCTGATCCCTAAACCTTGAACCCGAAACAAACCCTAAACCTTGAACCCGAAACAAACCCTAAACCCTGAACTCTTCAGAGGGTTTGGGGTAAAACCCCTAAACCCTAAACACTAAACCCTAAACCCTAAACCCTAACCCCTAAACCCCAAACCCTAAGCCCAAACCACTCTTACCCCCCTGTCAGCTGTTCCATGTCACAGGCCTGGATGATAGCTGGCGGCCATGGCTCTTCGAAGCCTGTCTGGTTGTGCCCGTTGGGGGTGTAATTTTCTATTTAGGGGTTTAGGGTTTAGGGTTTAGGGTTTAGGGTTGAGGGTTTAGGGTTTAGGGTAGGGGCCTTAATGATTAGAGCAGGGCTTTGAGGGTTATTGTAGTATCCTTATATAGGGACCATAAAGGGAACACTATTCGTAAGTATTCCGACCCCTATATTGGGGCTGCTGCGTGGTTGAGGGTGTGCGGCTTTGGGGGGGTTAAGCGCCTTTCGATGCCCTCGTGCCTTCGACTTCTGCTTGTGGCTGCCTGATAGCTGCAGAGTTTGAAAGCACACAGCGGCCCAAAAACACTCCGACGCCCTTAGCCCCACCCAGAATAGAACCCTAAACCCTAAACCCTAAGCCCTAAGCCCTAAGCCCTAAACCCTAAACCCTAAACCCTAAACCCAAGCGTGTCTTCCCAGGAAATCAACACCTCGCCTTGCATGCTGGATGACTGCAAGGGAGACTACGAAGAGGCAGGGTTTAGGGTTTAGGGTTTAGGGTTTAGGGTTTAGGGTTTAGGGTTTAGGGTTTAGGGTTTAGGGTTTAGGGTTTAGGGTTTAGGGTTTAGGGTTTAGGGAATACTAGGCCATGCCTCGAGGCCTCATGCAGAGCTTACCGGGATGCCGTGCCCCAGCAAAGTATGCCCGAAACCCAGCACGAAGCCCAGCCTAAACCCTAAACCCTAAACCCTAGCCCTAAACCCTAAACCCTAAACCCTAAACCCTAAACCCTTACCAGCCGTTGAGCCTTTTGGTAACTGTATGCTTCGTGTTTTTTGGGTCGCGTATCCCTGGGAGGATCTAGAACGGGGCACTTTAGTACCCCTACTATTATTCTTGGTTCAGGGTTTAGGGCTTGGGGCTGAAGGAAACTGTTCAAGAGGCATCTTTACATCCCCCTAAGGGTCTGGACGTTTAGATGTCGGCCAAAACCCTGAGCACTCAGCCTGCCCTCACAGCGAAAGGTGCCTTGTAGAACCCCCCAATCCGTTTGGTTCTGAGAGCAGCCCCCTGAACTAGGGTTTAGGCTTCAGGGTTTGAGTTTAGGGTTTAGGGTTTAGGGTTCAGGTTTTAGGGTTTAGGGTTTAGGGTTTAGGGTTTAGGGTTTAGGGTTTAGGGTTTAGGGTTTAGGGTTTAGGGTTTGAGGTGTGGGGTTGGGGTTTAGGCTTTTAGGGACTTAGGCATTTGGGCTGGTTTGTGATGTTTTCGGGCTCCCTAAACCCGAAACCCTAAACCCTAAACCCTTTGTGCTCTTAGGCCCTGGCTGCCCTCAACCGCCCTGGAAGGCCGGCCCAAACCCTCTCAAACCATCAAACGGTTTAGGGTTTAGGGTTTGGGGTTTAGGGTTTAGGGTTTAGGGTTTGGCACACCAAAACCCCGAAATCCCCAAACTCTAAATCCCAAAACCTCAGAACTCCTGCGGAAAACGCAGCACCAAAACCCTAGACCCTAAAGCCCTAAACCCCCAAACCCTAA